TCTCACTTCACATACATTTTCCTCACCTCCTAAAAGTTGTCTCCAAGAGATTTTGAGGTCAGTTTTAAGCATTAGGGATTTAGGCAGAAAGCAAAGTAAAACTGGACACATAGAAACGCATTCTCAATTCTCTTTCTATCATGACAACAAGGAGATGTTCCTGTCATCTTGTACCCCAGCACCTATGGGATCATAACTTAGACCATGTACTCAGACTCCTTTGATTCAACATGGTGACCACTACCAGTCACAGTACCATGAGATAACACACGTTATCTCATAGGTCATTTTGTAGTAGAAGAAACAGACTCTGAGAGATCAAGTATTTTGCTGAAGGCTAGCAAACTAATATTCAGCAACAATAAGACTTAACTTTTGTCTGCCTGATGCCAAAGCACTCCTAAGCACTGATTTCTCTTCCTTACAGATTCTACGCTTTCATTCATCGTTCACTAAAACTCGGTTTAAATCAATCCTATGCCTTCACGTGGCGGTGTAGGGGATCTGGGAGTGGCAAAGTATTTATGTGATAAACTTAATTCCCAGAAAACACGTTTGGGTGGCTGGTGGTTGTTCTGTTTGGTTTTAAACTTTTGTGTTACACTGCACAAAAATTTTACAAGTTTTTCAACCAGTCATCAATAAAATCCTAAGAATTCTTGGCTGAAAGAAAAAGAAAAGGAATGTTAAGACATAAACCAGAAATAGCAATTTGTCTCTGAAATCTGCCCTCTCCCGCTCCCCCCTCCTTTTTTTTCACTCTTTCCAAAACAAACATTTGTTCCACACTAACAATTTTGGATTTGGAAAACACTTTTAGAAGATTTGATGTGGCCAGTATATATACATCACTTACAGATTTCAGAAGACATTGTTTTTATTTAGAAACAGAAAGGGCTTTGCAAAGAAATATTAAATTGTGAAGGGCCACAATGTACATTCCGGTTCACATGAGTCTGCTGTTTTAAGTTCCAAAAGATGTAATTCTGTCCCCTTTTAAAGTCAGTAAAGTCCTGGTTTTTGAGCATATGCAAACTTTATGCAAAAGAAGAACATGAGAAGCTCTCCAACGTCATATCTTCTTACTGTATTACTTAGTCTTCACTCCCGCAGCAACATTTGCCCCAACTATTTTGCATTTAATTTTCGAAAAATCCTCAAGTCTTATCAGGATTTGGGTTTTTCTCTTGTTGTGCTGACTTCAACATCTGGGACTGTCCACTGTTAAGAAACCAGCACAGACTAAGAGATTTTATCACTGCTAAAAATCAACTGATTTCTAAACATATTCTCTGAAACAGAAAGCAATAAGAGTGTGATACTTACCAGTAAGTGTTCTCCTCCACAGAGTCACACCCTCGGGACAAACATATGTGAGGTCCATACTCTCTGGATAAATAAGTGTGCATCCTCATGGACCTTGGAAGACACTGAAAAGTAAATTCCTCTATTGCTTAAGTGCATGTCTTAATGCCAGTTACTGTTCCTCTTACATACTACTGTATGGCTGGCATCCCAACCTGAATTCCTCAAAAATGAAATGAGACATTTCATAAATGAGTTAATAGTACATTTGTACTAGTAACAGTACAGGGTTGTTTTTAAAATCCCACTCAAGGAAGGAGAATGTGCTAGATAATTCTGTGCTTAAATTCATTCCTTGTGTAGCCGGAATGGGGCAAGAGAGCATTTTGTAAAATAGTGTAATACATTCATTGCAGAGAAGGAATTAGCTGTCTCCAATACACTTGCATTATATCCACCTAGAAGAGATTTCTCTTTACTATATACAAAGTAGAGAAGCATTAAATAAATCATTGACTTATTCTAAAACAGCAAATATTTTGGACTCACACATTTTGAAACTAAACATATTGAATAGAACTGGTAAACAAATTTATCTGAAATGTGCTGGTACAGGTAAAGGAGCTCTAAAATTACAAAGTACCTTTGAGGAGGTTACACTTTCAGAGATAACATAACTGATTATTTTGAAATTAAGTAGTAAGAGTTTAAAAAAATTAAAACAGGAAGACCTGGGACATAATAAAATATCTGGGGTTTCGAAGGTCATAAATGTGGGAGTTTCAGTAACCAACAATAATAGTGTATACAGCTCTTTTCATTTTAAAATTATATTTATAAAAGACTCTAAAACTGAGTTAAATATGAATAAGCAGAACATGCCAATTCTAACATGCCTTTAATAAT